ATGGGGAAGTGAAAGCAGAACCTTGCCTATCTGTGGAATGCAGTTTAACACACCAACTGGACCCTATTTCCCTAATGCAAGGCCATCCTTCTGTTACATAAGATGTGAAAAATGCTAAAAGGTACCATCCGCGGTACATTAGAAAAATCTACGGTGAGTTTCAGATTCAGCAAATAACACTTCAAACTGATTGTGTTGAAGCAAAAATAAATCAAGAACATCTAGTATCATGAGAAGAAGGGTATCATATTTCTCTGAAAAATTTACCTGAAATAAAAAATATTAAAGAAGTCAGAAAATGATATAAACTATCTTCAAAAGAAAATAGTATTGAGACAAAATTAGATGTTACTCTTAAATCAACAAAAACTGTTTCATGAAATGTCAAAATATTTTTTAATAATAAAGGGAGAAATGTGGGATCCACATATAAATCAAGTATAAAAATCAAACAAATATTCATATCTGACCTGATTGTTTATAATTCATAATGCGTGATCAAAATCGAAAGTTTCTGTGATGAATGCCCTTGTACTGTTCACCATGTAAGAACTTATTTATTATGTAAGAATTCGTCCACCATGTAAGAACTTGTTCATTATGCTTCAGAAGATTGGAGACTGACGAGAATTAGGCTTGAGATGGATTAATGATTGTGCATTGAGCATTGACCCCCCCTATACAGAATTTTATTGTTGTTAACAACCATTTGATCAATAAATATGTGAGATGCCCTCTCAAAAAAAAAATTTTTTTTTTAGTCAGCACTCTTTTCAATAAAACAATTTTCCCAATGATATAAGAAATAAAACCTAATTATATCACTTCTAATATTTTAAAAGACAACCACTTTTACTATTAAAGTTATGAGTGTTTTAGATTAAAGAACAAAACTAGCACTAGATAAAACTTTCATTTACAAGAGACACTAAAAAAAGAGAATCTTTTCTTTCCTCTTTCTCAGCACTTTGCCTTCCTCAATGTATATACATTTAGTTATAGAGAATGCTGTATTCTATGTATCCTTCTTAATTCTAAAAGTTTTGCTCGGGGAAAAAAAGCAGCTGTCAGAACCTATACATCAGTATATTGCATTAACTCAGTAACGTAAGACCCCGTGCATTGCAATGGTGCTTCCCAACATCAGTGATGTTATGCTTCATGTGTTATACTAGCAAATTCCCCACATCTTTATCTTCCTTATCTATTTCTCACATACTTGAGTATTTTTCAGGTCTAATGATTGGCATCCAGGTTGGAGAAAGAGGAAAGTCCTTTAAGGCAACAGATATATTTATTTCTAAACTTATATAATTAATGACATGTGAAGACTGAATCTGCTTATTAATCTTTGTTTCTTGCAGGTAACACATATATGACAAAAATACCTTAATTTCTATTTAGTAAATGAGGAAAACTAAAATGCAAAGACAAATGGCAAGACATTCCTGAACAATCCTTTCCTACCACTGCCGACCTGATGAAAGAAAAATGTTTACCATATTTAATACAATAAAGTAAGGAGGTAGGTTAACCTCAAATCATTCCAACACTGGCTTGCTGGATATCTTTAATCTCAAAGACGTCTTCATGAATAACTATACCTGGGAAATGAGCTTTCAGAAATTATGGAAGTTTTCTATTTTTAAAGACATCTGAGTTTTAGCTGAAATCTGAGTTCAAAAAGACTTGGGGGAACAATACTATTTTAGAAAATTCTAATACTCCATGGATTAAATCTGTTATAAAATACTGAATCTGAAATTGGAATTATTGATCTTTAAATTGTGATGGCAATAAATATGGCAGCCACAAAGGTAATAAGACAGCAGTTACCACATTCTGAACATTTCCTACGTGCCAGGAGCTGTGCTGAGCATGAGCACATAGACTCCATCATCTCATTTAGCCCTTAAATCCAGCCTAACAGGAAGGTACAAGTCTCTGGATTTTACTGATGAGAAAACTGAAGACTCAGAACATTGAGGATCTTATCCAGGGCCAGTTTACGAAGGCCAGGATTTTAGCACAGGTTTCACACAGTAATAGGTCATAAAGCTTTCCAACACTATGTAACGTTAGAACCAACTTCACAGATAATAAGCTTTAGTAACAGACTACATTATTGTTTGGCTGTCATTTGTAACCAAATTGGATAATTATCATAAAATTCAACATAATGATGAGAACAATGACTATGCTTTCTATTCTTAAAACACATTAATCTAAAAAAAAGAGTAGTTTCAAAATAACTATTATCTCATTACATAAACACGTATTAAAAAATGTCAAAACAAAGTTAAGTGGCTTTCCCTGGAGTCACACATGAAACATTATAATAAATGAAGAATCTAAACCTAGAACTTACTTAATAGAGGCTTCCTTATCAGCCTTCAGCAAAGCATTCCTGTTCTACTCTTCTTCAAAAAACACTTTTTTGCAGTAACAAATTTATAGAGATTTGAATATTCAATGAAAACTTAACAAAAATGAACAAAAGTAATGTCCAGGAAATGCCATGTCCCAGGGTTTTGGTCTGATTACAGAGTAAACTGGCAAGTTTGGGCTTATCAGATTGTTGTTTTAATAAAAGAGAGTTGTAAGACCAAGGAAAAGAATACAAGACAAGAACTGAAGCAAAAGATTTAGGTGAGAAAAAAAAACTCAGAGAAATTTTGTAGGGAAAAGTTACAGTCAGAGGTACAAAGATTTGAAGGTGTATGGAGAAAAAAAATGGCAGTGTGATACAGTGGTCAAGTGTACAAGCTTTGGCCCCAGCCCAGCTGAGTGTGAATGACCCTCTGCCATTGACTGAGTGACCTTGCATAAATCACCTTTGTTTAGTTTCCTCATCTCTAAGGTGGAAATAATAACAGTACCTACTTGTCTCAAAGGGCTGCAGTGAGAATTAAATGTTATAATTTATGTAAAACTTAACACAGTGCCTGGCACATCACTGTTATTAATTATCATGAGGAAAAGCCAGATGAAGAAAATGCAATAAACCCAGCCTCTGATTTGTTGTGCAGAGGATCTATTGAGTCTTTTCTAACTCTATTTACACATCAAACTAAAGGAAATCAAAATCTGACTCCTAAATAATACATGTAATTTTGAAAGGTCTGTATATGATAACTGAAAAGTTAGTAATATGTTTCCTTGAACTTCATTTGCCCAGAACTGGTCTGAACTTAGAAGGCACAATTCAACTTATCTAAGATGCCACTTACAAACAGGGAAAAATAACTATTATAAACAACCCAAACCACAGAAATGTGAAACAATTAAATTTTGATCCCCAAATAAGTAAACTCTTGTTCTAAGTAAATGTTTTATTAAACTGAAGCAAGTCTGATTTTGATATATAGAATATTATTTTATTCTTTATTTTAAACCTTTCTTACATGTTTAAAAATACACATGGGATCATAACAACCTCAATAAAATGATGACATTTCTACTGAAGGACCTCTGAAGTCAAACCAGCAGTGTACAAACATGATTGGCTTCCAATATGAAGAATCATAGGCACATTTCATTAAATGCATTTCATAAAACAAATCAAAAATGCTGAGAAGAAAAATACTCAGTAATTTGATATAAATTTTAAAATATATGTCAGGCAGGAAACTTATGGTAAAAAAGTAAGATTTAGATGTTTTACCACTCACACCTGCTTCATTACTAATTCCCCAAACACCATTCTGCTACATCTAAATCCCTGACAATTTATTACACAATTCCATTTAGCACACTAAAAAATAAGTTAATCTCTGAATTTGAAAACAGATCATTACAAAAGACAATACTAACAGCTCTTACCTGTATTTAATAATTAAGTATATTATATTCTCAGTAGCACTAAAAATGCAGCTTGGTATAATATATCTAAATAACAACTATTTTCTCTTAAAAGAAGTTTTTGTATATTTTTCTCCAATGTTGATGATTAGGCAACATTGATCTATATATTGTGCTAAGAAAACATTAGGCACAGATCACATAATATAACTTACATTTTCTTTGCTGTAAAAATACAGTATGTGCAAATGCGTATCACACAAATGACTAGTGGACACAATGGTCAGCTTTGTAGAACACCAAAAAAGGTTAACATTTTGCTCTTAAAAAGAAAGAAAAAAGGACCCACCAAGTAGCTTGAAGAGCTATCCTTCACTTCTGGGTGAGTACTCTGCATCTGCATTAGAAGTATTTGTGGATATTCTTGAAAAAATGACAGCAACAAAAAAAACTAGCAAAAAAGACATGACATGAGCTAATTTAAAAAGAACCCAGTAAAAATATTTCCAAAAGCCATTAAACATATTTAACACAATATCTCAAACAGGCTATGGATTGCTTTGCTGGAAGCAATAAATTCTTAAACATCATGATTGCTTTATGTAGTAGATTCTTTCATTAGCTAAGACACTTCAGGATTAAGGTACCAAAGGATGCAGACCAAAAAAAAAATGGAAAGAAAAAAAATAGGCTGTTAGGAAGGGGGTGGGGAAGCATAATTTTATCTAGAAGAAACAAAAACACTGCTTCTTTTTGTTCATTGCAGAAAATTTGTGCTGCAGATACTATAAAAACACAAGGAAAGGGCTGTGTGGTAGGTAGTAAAATACAACTCTTAACTATGCTTCCTCCCTGGAGAGACCACTTAGGGGTTGCAGATTTGTGTGTTTTAAAAGTATACTTTGATGCAAAAGATTATACTTTGCCACATATATAATATGTAGCATTTTTCTATAAAGAGAAATTTACATAATTTCTGCAACACAAAGAGAGTGAGTGAGAGAGTCAGAGACAGACAGAATGAGAGACAAAGACAGAGGAGAGAATTCAGTCGGACAGAGAGAGAGAGAGAGAGAGAGAGAGAGAGCACGCCAAGGGGCTGTGCTCATGTCCTGTGGAAGATCTGAGATACTTTTTTCCTCCTCAGTGCTTAATTTCTTGTTACTCCACATGTATACTCACACAATAATTATCCTCTATACATCCTTTTTTTTAGATTTTTTCCCATGACAAAAGGAGAGAGAAAAAGAAACTTTTAGTCCCTTCATCTCACAGTCAACTATTCAAATAAATATTTCTCTAGTGGCAAATTTCCAGACAAATCAAGAGTATGATCCAAAACCACCGTCAGATTACATTTGATTTACTGTGTAGTTCTCTTCAAATGGAGCAAGAGTTAGCCCGTTTCCTAGGTTTGGGGTCTCGTGCTTCCTGACCCTTCACACACATACAAGATGTGCACATTGTCTCAGACAGTCTTCGGAGGCCCAGCCGGAAAACACTGTTGGAAAGGCTGTATATTACACAGTTACAAAAACTGTTACTTATAGCAAGCCAGGTTGTCAGGAAGGACAGTGTTGGATTGTCCAAAACCCGGGAGCTTTCTAGAAGAAAGTAAATGATATAGGGGAGCCACAGCATGTAAAACACACTGGTTATCCGAAACAGAACCATGGCATAGCGACGGTCAGGGCTGTGTCCAGTCTCTCCAGAGGCATCCACCTCGTGGCTAGGGAACCGGGCCCTCCGCTCATTTATCTCTTTGGTGTGCTGACGGCAAATTTTGAAAATGTGGAAGTAAGTGAAGCAGACAACAAAGGCAGCAGGCGCATACAGCAAACAAACAATAAAGCCAGTAAAGTAAGCACTGGTAAGCCAGGAGGTGGCACACCATTCAAAAATGTCACCGTGGTAACCAGGTTTCCCCCAACCAAAAAAAGAAGGCAAGAAAATTAGGCAAGAGTAGATCCATATTAAAATAATGCAGATTCTCAGGCGGCAAGGGGTGACCAGTTGATTGTAGGAAAGAGGCTTGGTTATTGCAAGATAACGATCCACACTTATACAGGCCAGACATGCCATGGAAACACTTTTTAGGACGGAGATGATATATCCAAAAACCTGGCAAGTCAGTGACTCGTGGACACCTGTGGAGTAGTGGAGAAGTGAGAGAGTAGGAACCAAGCAGCTAACTCCAACAAAAAGATCAGCATATGCCATCGTCTGAATGAAATAGCTGGTAGTATAATGGTGTAAAAGTGGAGCACAGTGAAAGACAAAGATGACTGTTAAATTCCCAGCAATGATGAGAAACGTCAGCAAGACAATAACAACTGTCTCAAAGATGCAGACATCCACTGTACTGTAGTGGCCAAAGCCAAGTGGGCAGGAGTGACGTTCAGACACATTCACAACGCCACTGCTCATGTTCAAGATGCTCCATTCAGTCCACCTGGATTCATTCATGGCTTGTAGTTAAGGGACCTGCAGCCCTGGCTACAGCAGGCAGTTGCCCTGCCCGGCATCTGTTAAACTGTGCCCATGAATGTCTCAGCATCAGTTTCGGTGGACAGCAGCAGAGCTTCTGTCGGGGCTGAGCATCCCAGAGAGCACTAAAGCCTCTTCATCAGCCTCAGTGCAGCGGTGACACACCTCAGCTTTGGGCGGGGAGGGTGGGGCATAAGCTAGACGGAAGGTGAAAAAAGGTCACTGATTAGCTTCTTCCAGGGTTCCCACACAACTTTTTGCAGACACAAAGGACACAAGGCAATTCTAGAGAATATGGATTTCTTACTATCTTGCACTATGAAAAATTAAATCTGTAAAAAGAAAAAGAAATCAATTGCCAAGGGAAGAAAAGCTTTTGTAAGCTGTTTGTTCTCAGAAAAGTAGTTTCTTAGGGATCAACCAGAAAAAAATGAGAAAAGAAAAAGTCTTAAATTGTCTCAGGTTTCTTGTTTCAACTATCATCAGAGGTAGACTCATATTTTAGAACTTGAATTAAGATCTCAGATTTGGTTGAAAAGCTAAGAAAAAGTTCATAGTGGCAAAGAGTGTCTTTGGGATCAGTTCAGAGTTTGATGCTGGTGGGTCAACTTTATGATCCATTACTCTCTCATTTCTTTAAAATGCAAGACAAGCCCCAAGTAAGGTTAATTCCAAAAGACTCATCTTTATTTAAGCACAAAGGAACAGAACAAAGGTAACAGACTCCAGACTGCCCTATAACTCTCATGAGAAAAAAGCATATTTACAGTAGGGAAGATAATATGCAATATATTAACACCTAAAAAAAATGATAAACTTCTGAATTTTTAATTCTGCATGCATTTTTTAAGCATTCCAATGAAAACAGTTTTAGTCCATTACAGTTCAGTTACTGGTGCAACCACCAGCAATGTAATACGTACTTCTTCCTTTTCAAAAGCAAAATAAATCACTTTTGCAACTAATTTTGCCATCAATAACTGAAAATAACTTTATCTGATATGCCACCTTCCTTATGTAATGAAGCATGATCACAAAATATATAGCTTAAAATTATTTCTCATCTGTGCAATCACACCTATATCTAGTATACATATATAGACATAGATGTAAATACATATGAAATTGAGACAAAAGAAACTTCCCTATATACTCTGAGCTTATGTGACTAGAAATGCTGCCATTATTTATTACTTAAGTATTTCTAGTAAGCTTCATAGTCTATGTTTCTGTATCTTTTCTATTTTCATTAGGTGATTAACACATTAAATCATTACTTTAACTAAATCTTCCAAAAATGGAAAATTACCTTGTTTGTTATATTTGCCGTTATACAGCAGCCATATGTTAAGAAAATGACTCTTCTATTTCTGTATTCTATTTTGAGCAAGTGCTCAATTAATGCAGGGGCCATTAGGTAGGTTATAAGACGGTCTTGTTTTAAAATACCTCTAAAGCATCAAGATGAGTTTAAATCCTAGAGTTTGAAATACTGAAAGGCTGGCAGGATAAAATCCATCCAAAAGGCTTCCAAGGTCATTCTGGTATCAGGTTAACATTTGTCAAAAGTCTTTTTTGAAGTACAGGTATTTCAGAGAGTCTCTTGTCAGTCTTTGTTGCATACCTTCTGAAGAAATTACGTGCTTTAGAAATAAAACATTTCCTTCAGGAACAATGCAGCAGCTTAATAGAAAGCATTCTTCTGAAAGTTATTTTCTCATGCACCATCAAGTCATTCAGGCAAGTCCTTCTTTTGTAATAGCCACAAGATATTCCTCCTTGTACATTCCTAGTTTCACTTATCACAAAACAGTTTTCTCGTTACAGGAATAAGGCAGTGCTTCTCACCTACATCCACTCTTATCAGCTGGTAGGCTGGGCTGCTTGATTCATAAGTCCGATTTACTGGGATGCAGTTACCAGGATGCTGTCAGTATAATTCTTCACAATCTCACAGTATCACTGTCTCCACCTGAGCTGAAGCCCTGCTCCTCCTCCTCATCCTGAGCTGATGCAGAAGAACTCACCATCAGAAAGGTGACTCGGTCCTCCTGCCCCAATCAACAGCACAGCCAATGGCTACTGCAGCTGAAACTGTCACTAGGTAACAGTTGCCAGGCACATGCAGGCTTATAGACTTACACGGCAAGCTCCGATCAAGATTGACAAAAGAGGACAATGGAACTGGCCGATTCTTATAACATAAAAATGGCATGTATGGATTTCTAGAGGTATTCTCCTTATAGCATTTGTAAAGATCATTTCCCATGGACAGGACAGACAAAGCAACTGGGATACACCTTTAAGCCCAATAGAGAAACTACGACAAGGCATTATGACACTAAAAAGTCAGCAGTAATCTAATGCTCACTGGCAAAAAAAACTTATTAATTATTAAAAATCAGCTAAGCCTTCATGAACTCAAATGATTTAGCTATAATTTTTACTCTTTCAAAAAACAGTTATAGTTCTGATCAGAAGTTAAGTCATGTCATAATCTCTCCAAACTTTGCCACACCCACACTAAATTGCTGAATTTGATGTATTTAACAGTACAAAGCAAGCATTGGAACTAACACCTCTCTACTCAAATTTAGGGAAATATTAAGGTCAAATACAACCCCAGAAAAGTAGGCATTAGAAATAAACAGAGTAATTTTTTAGTCCATTCTTTGGTCTAACATGAAAAAGAGATGAAGAACTTTGTAGTTCAGTACGTGGGCTACCCATACCCAAGTTAGAAAAAAGCAAATTAAGCTCATTTATTTGATGAAAGTTAAAAACATTTCTACTTATTTTAACTTACTGTAGGCAAATACTCACTATTTTAAGCATATTTCTTACAGTAATAACACTTTTGTTAAAAGTAACTTAGAACTACTTTATAAATTTTTTCAGAATTTTATCAGGAAAATTAAGGTGAAAATAGAGGATTATTAACATTTACTGAGCACATTCCATGCACCAAGCATTATGCTATGTGCTTTTTTTCTCTCTTTAATACCTTAAATCTCTATGAAGTAGGTATCCATCGTGACTGTTTCCAAAGGAAGAAGTGGGTACTAAAGAAGGTAAATAAAATTGACCTACTATTACAGACTCATGAAACCAGGATTAAAACGGGTCAGAACTGTCACTCTTAACACCCACACTGATGAGCCCCTTCTTCCTTCCCTCTCCTTTCCACTGATGGCTGCCAGTCAGGAAATGTCAAAATAATTATTTAGGATTTCAAATAAGGATTTCTAAAAAAAAACAGAAAACCCTCTTCTTTCCTCCATGGTGAACTCTTTCATGAAAACCACGTTATTGTTCAAATCTTCAGAGATTTAGGTGAAATACAGATGGGAAGCACATTTTTCATTAGCAGAAAAATTTATAAAATAAGAATAACAATCTTAGAGCATGTACCATGTTGACATTTAAAGTAAATATTTATATTTCATATAAAAAGGCTAGAAAGTCCTAAAAGCATTTTGACTTTTAGGGATTCCTAAAAGCATGACAGTCAAACAAGATTGGATTTAACTAACATTCTCTTTTACAATAATAATACATATTCAAAATAAAAATCACACTAGATAAATATTCATGAATGTAGACAGGCCCCTCATTCCCTAAGAAGGAGAGTTAAATACTAAGCTTTACTACAAAACCATTGAAAAACAAAATGCTATCTATTTATTAAAGCTACCTCAAGTCACCAAAATCTAAACACATCATTTTACAAGTACAGACTTCACATATTTTGTTAAAAGTTTTGAGTTGTACTACACCTAAAATCAGGGAAATGGCATTAAAAAAAACCTCATTTAGTAAAATTCAAATACTAGATTGCTTTACTTGACACATTTATTTTCAAAAAACCACCACTGGCAGGGAGTTGGGTCTAAGAACACTCAGAATACAATCCATATTGTTCATGCTTCCCTAGGCAGATAGTAATAGGAGAGGGAGGGTTCACAAAGCAGTGCCACTGATCCACAAAGCTTCCATCTTTCCTTCCACCAACTTCCAAGAAGCTGCTAGATTTTCTCCTTTTTAGAAACTGAGTCCCTTTTCTTCCTTTCCATTCTTTTTTCTGATCTGATTATAATAAGGACTAATTTATAATGTGAAACTCTAATAACAGAAGAGCATTACTATCATATATTTACACAGCTCATTACATCAAGCATTCTTTGCTTTTATAGCAAGCATAATTCTCTTCATTTTAGGTGTCATTAGATGTTTTATTTTTGCCACCCTTATTACAATTGTTATCAACCACCCCCTCTCTTTTCAACTGATGAATGCTAGTCAGGAAATCTCTAAGAGGGATCATTGTTGGGATTATTTCAGAATTACTTCTAACGGCTAAAACTGTAACTTCGAGATGATACACTACGGGTGTTTGAATTTGTATTTATACTGCAAATGTGTTTTACACATTCTTTTATACATATCAATATTTCATTATTAAACATTTAAGCAATCTGAGCAGCTACTCAATGGGACCTAAACAACAAAGCAAGAGAGGGGATACTGGCCATCAGTGGTAAATACAGTAAATGAATGGCAGTGATCAACAAATCGAACTACACAACCAATACGACATCCTAAAAAGTAAACAAATATAGGATGAAATAAAAGTTTTTAAAATATATGTTTAAAGGTACAAAAAGTGATGAATTTGGAATTTATCTGTTTCTTCAACTACTCCTCTCATCTGTTAACTTTTCCCCATCTGTACCACCACTACCCTAAGCAAGCTGGCATCATCTTGTGTGAACTACTGCAGTGGCTTCCAATGTGGTCTTGTTGTCTGTGGCCTTTCTTCAATCCACTATGCAGAAAACAGAATATTCTTTCCGAAATGCAAACCAGATGATATCCCTCCCCTGTTTAAAATACCTCAGTGGTTTCACACTGCCCTTAGGATAAATTCCTAAAAGGTCTTTAAAATCTGGTCTCCCTACACCTATCCAATCTTACTTCTCTTCTATATTGTCTAGGATTACCTAAACTGGCTCCACCTCCCCCCACTCCATCCATCCCCCAAGTCCCACATTTACCTGCTGCTCCCTATTTCCTCATGATAGCTGTACCTCATGCTTGTTAAGCCATGACACTCATTTAGTTAATTCAAATGTAGTCTTTAATGTTTCAGTGCAAACACCACTTCCTCTGGGACACCTTCCTTTAACTCTCAGA